CCGAAAATGAAAATTAAAAGCGGGAGAAATTCTTGTTCTTTCTTAATTGAAGTGGAATAAACATGCATACAGTATTAAGTGTTTAGTTTACTAACCAAAAATTGCAGGTACAAATAAAGTACAGTACAAGAAAATACAGGCAAAGAAAGGTACAGGACCAAAAACAGAAAAGCCTAGGCAAACCATGGCATCAGCGACCGGGGCCTCCTCCTCCTTGAATCATCAAAGGCCCAGAAGTGCACATTTTGGCCCCTGAGGCCCAAAAATTGCCCAATTTGGCCCCAAAGGCCCAAAAAATCCCAATTTGGCCACAAAGGGCCCAAAAATTCACATTTTTTGGCCCTTAAGGCCCCAAAAATTTCCCAATTTGGCCACAGAGCCCAGAAATCTCAATTCGGCCCCTTAAGGCCCAAAAAAGAAATTTCTCGATTCGGCCCAAAGGCCCAAAGTTCACATCTTGCCCCTAAGGCCTAAAAGTTTCACATCTTCGGCTCCTAAGCCCAAAAATCCCAATTTATTGTGCATGCTAATAAAACAGTAAGATTTGATTCGCAATTTGGCCACAAAAGCCCAAAAGTTCACATTTTGGCCCCAAGGCCCAAAAATTCCCAATTTGGCCCCGAAGGCCCAAAAGTTCACAATTTGGCCACAAAGGCCCAAAAGTTTCCATTTTGGCTCCTAAGGCCCAAAAATTCTGAATTTGGCCCCAAAGGCCTAAAAATGCCCAATCTGGCCCCAAAAGTTCACAATTTGGCCACAAAGGCCCAAAAGTTCCCATTTTGGTCCCTAAGGCCCAAAAATTCTCAATTTGGCGCTAAAGGCCCAAAAATGCCCAATTTGGCCATGAAGGCCCAGAAGTTCACATTTTGGCCCCTAAGGCCCAAAAATTCTCAATTCGGCCCAAAGGCCCAAAAATCCACAATTTGGCTACAAAGGCCTAAAAATCCCCAATTTGGCCCCAAAGGCCCAAAAATTCGCAATTTGGCCCCAAAGGCCCAAAAATACCCAATTTGGCCCCAAAGGCCCAAAAAATGCCCAATTTGGCCACAAACAGGCCCAAAAGTTCACATTTTGGCCCCTAAGCGCCCAAAAAACAAACAATCGAAAGAAAAATTGAAAAAAAATCAAGGAAATAGCCATAAAGGCGGGTTCTTCTGGACGCTGTCCGATTTTTGCCTTCAAAATTATTTTTCAGACAACCACCCCCCCCCCCTACTCCCACAAATCATTGTTTATGGTTGCCGTTGGGGCGGCAACTGGCTTGAATAACTTCAAATTTTGAGGCTAAAAAAGCATGGTTTCCCCGGGGCTTTCAGTTTTCCTGGACTGCAAACAGTCCGGCCGGACCGGAAGCCATTTTGGACATTTACCGAAAGTATGCCAATATGGTACTTGAAACGTCCGAAAAAATTACGAGGATCACAGAACTGGTCCCGGAATATTTTTTGGAGGTCAGGAACTCCCGGAAAAGCCTCCGGAACAAAAAAATAGCAAGTCCGACGGCCACGGCGGCTGCCGCCCACCTCAGCGACAGGTGCCGCCCTCTAGCCCGATTTTTGCCTACAAATACAGCCCCGACACTCCGTTTTTACTCACTCAGTCTGTGTTGATGGACGCTCCTTCTCCCCTACGCTCCTTGCGATTCTTTTCTGCTTTTTTTGCATTTAGCATAGGCTTTTCTGCTTTTCTGCATTTAGTGTAGGCTTTTATTACTCTGCTGTTGTGATACTTGGTCATTTAATTGAATTAATTCTAATTAATATTCCCCAACGGAAGGGAGCTTAATTTGAAATTTTCAAGCTGAAAGCTAAGAAGCGGCCGACGCAACTGACTCAGTAAAATTAAACGAAACCTGCCTATTAATTTCGGCATTTGTGCTATTCTCTTCTACATCCAATTCTGAATTTAACACTTGCTGCATTAATGCACTTCACATCATCAATTGGCAAATATAAACTCCCTCAATTAAATTATGATTAAGCTTAAATGCCCGGTTTAATTAATTAATCGGGGGTTGTTAAAGCCTAAAATCGGAATACATATTGGCATAAAGTATCTGGTCAATTAATGATTACGGGTATAATCGCCTTTATTTCGAATATAGTCCGGCTTAAGTCCAAATTAATTAATAATTGTGGGCTAAATAGCACTTAATTAACCCACGTTTTTTTTTGCAATAAATTGCCTATATTTGCCAATTCATATTTGATCACTATTGGCAAACAAATTGCCTATAAATAAAGATTAACCCATTTTAGCGATAAAATCCTTAAATCGAAGCTTTGGCAAAATGCCTTGAATTAATCAATCTTTTGGCTAAAAGCCTTAAATCAATCATTTTGGCTAACAAATCTCCCAATTAAACACTTTTTGGTTCAAACAATTGCCTAAAGTCAACCCCATTTTGGCTAAAAACCCTTAAATTCAAACACTTTTTGGCAACAAAACGCCTAATCAAATCAATCAATTCTTTGGGCAAATAAATGCCTCCTGAACAAAAATGCATGAAGCATAACACACACTCATGCATAAGGCAACACATAACCCTTTTAAAAAAGGCCACGAACTACGTCAGCTTGATCTCTTCATTCAAACGAGAGTACGTAGGCACGTTCAATTACCCCGTAGTGGCAAGTCGAAATCATCAAAAATCACTTAAACATTCATGCCCAAACATCCATACCCTGCAAAGCATTCATTCCATTGTGTTAGTTAATCAGCATGGGAACATTTTAGTCTCGGGATGCACCTCGAGGTTCGTAGATTGCTGCCTTAAAGCATTGGGATAATTTAACCTCTAGTTAATTAGGTTAATTAAAATTGGAGGTCAACTTAGGTTTTTTTCCTATTTACCCATAAAAATAATATAAAAAGGGTGTGGCTACTCACACATTCACGTGCATTTCCTTGCCCTTAGTTCCATATTCATTATATGAACAAGGTGGCGACTCACACATTCACGTGCATTTCTGCCCTTAGTCATATTCATTATATGCCTATTTTTGGGGGGAGGGGTTCACAGTGGTATCTTATGGTCCTGGTAGCGTTGTGGTGGCAGCCCTTTTGGTTCGGCTAAGACTACTCTGAATTCTTCCAAAAGATCTTGTATTTGAGGGTGCAGTTCAGGGATCTTTAAACAAGATGGTGCGTTTCCAGTAATTTGCAGCAACAATCCCCTTTTAAAGAGCTTGACCAGCTGCTCCATATTTTCGGCTGACGCAATTTGGTTTTCTGGGATTTGGGAGCCCTGAAAAATTACTTTCTTTCCATTCTGAAAAAATACCATCGGAAGTTTCGAAAAATCCCAAATAATTGGACCAAGTGTACGTAGCCAATGAGTCCCCAAAACCAGATCATAACCCTCCAATGGTAAAATGTACAAATCAACAGTTACCGTAATTCCTTGAATGAGTATCTTAGTTTGAGCACATTTACCTGGGCTTATTAATTCTTCTCCGGATGCTACCTGTACCTTCAATTTTTTTTCATTCGCCGGTTCAATCCCTGATTTTCTTGCAAATCATTCACTCACAAAATTATGGGTGCTACTCGAATCAACCAGAATGGTTCCTTTTGATTTCGCCACCTTTCCACTGAGTCGTATTGTCTCTGGTCCTTCGAACCCAGCGATTGCATGTAAAGAAATGGCTGGTACTTCATCTGTGGGATCTTGCTCCTCAATCTCCATTTCTGTATCATCATCACTGTCTTCAAGTACAGGTTGAATGGCGAAGAGCTTTTTACACCTGTGGCCGGGCCCAAGCTTCTCGTTACACTTGAAACATAACCCCAATTTCTTCCTTTCGTTGAGCTCCTCCTAGGTCAGTCACTTGATGTTTCCTGTCGGTCGTTGATTGGAAACTGGTGTGATTGCAGGGCGAGGTACCTGAGTTGATCATACTAGTGTGGGGAACCCCTTCCCTTGAGCCGAGTTCCTTGCCTCATAAAGCCTTGCTAGTGCAATAGCCTCTGTTAAAGTCTTGAGCCGGTTAGCTTGTACATCTGTTCTGATTGTGGAATCAGCCCACTAATGAAACAGCTCACTTGCCTTATTTGTGATAACTGTCCCACCTTAGCCAGTAACTTCTTAAATTGGACCTGGTACGATTGAACAGAACCTTGTTGCTGTAGTTTGGATAATTCTCCAAAAAAATCAATTAGTTGATTTAGCCCATATCTTAAGTAGAAGCCTTCTTTGAATTCTGCCCATGTGACAGAAGGGTTTTCTTGTTTCAACAATTGGTACCATAGCTGGGCGTCTCCTATCATGTGGAAAGAGGCTATTTCCACTCGATCTTCATCAGGTGTTCGGTGAAACTGAAAAAACTGCTCTGCCTGACAAATCCAACTGGTGGCATCCTCTTTTTCATCGAACCGCAGAAAGTCCAATTTAACCATCTTTGGAGCATAGGAGGAAGTAGCCCTGAGATGTTTGATCTGTTTCTGGACTCCGGGGTTTGCACTTCAGAATCGTTGCCCTTCCCTTGGGAGGATTGGGAAGTCAGTCGATCCATCCGTACATTCAGTTGGGAGAAGAGCTCTTCCAAATGTTTTGCAATTCCCTCTTGGCCCCTAGAAAGGGACTGAACGGTTTATTCCAGTTGCTCCACTCTCTGGTCCATGCCAGAGCTCTAATACCACTTTGGTACGAACTGCTGGTTCTTGCGAGGACCTATTATGAAGGAAAGAACAGATAGTTTAAGAGAAGAAAAAAAGAATTTGATTTGGTTAAATGGAGGAAACCAAGGCCTCAATGTTAAGAACGTTTTGTGTTTTAATCTCATGCCTTGAGTTGTTTTATTCATTAACTTATATAGCAATAAAAGAATAACAGATTAGCTATTAACAAGGAAACTAACTTTGCTATTCCAAAGCAGCTAAATAGCAACAACAAATCAAAACAGAAAATATGCTAGACTTATTCAAAGCAATAAAAGAGCCACGTAACAATCTAACTTTGCTATTCCAATAGCAGCTTAAATAGCAACAACAAATCAAAAACAGAAAATATGCTAGACTTATTCAAAAGCAAATAAAAAGAGCCACGTAATCAATTCCCCTCCCCTTAAACTTAGGCCTTTTGGAAAATCTAGTGGGACAAAGGTAGATCCTAGGTGTTGATCTATTTGCCTTATTCTATTGGTTTGTCCTTACCCTTTGAAAAGAAGATAAAACATAGTTGAGGGATCTCAAGATGAGTCTTGAGAGTGGATGTACGCGAGTTTAGTTGCCGAACCATTTTATAAATCACCTGTGTTCCATTATAAATCACTGTGTTGATCTTTTTATTTTCTGAAGTTCTACTTGATAATATTTTACTCACACTTCTATTTATACTTTAGAAATGCTAAATTTATTAATAGTTTTGATGTTCTAAAACTGAAATAAGCTTTATATTTTCTGAACATTAGAACTCTGGACTTCTTCTAAGTGAATATACCAAGTTCTAAACGGTTCTTCTACTTTCAGTATATTTCACTGTTTGGGTTTCTAATCAATTTCTAAACTAGATCAAAACTTTGTGAAGTAGTTTAGATTTCGATAACTGTCTCTCACACAGTGTTTTATGTTCTTCTAAACTTTATGAGAAAGTTCTAATCACAATAGCTTTCTGTCATAAAGCAGTTTTGATATTAAATAAGACATTGTGAAGTAGATCTAATTGATAGCTACACTTCGCAAAGTCTTTCTATTTTCTCTAAATAGAACATTGTGAGGTAGTTCTAATCTATAACTTATTTTCACAAGTTAACTTATTTTCACAAGTTCATTAATTTTCCGTCCTTTGCAAAAATAAGGCTTTCTGAGTTTGGTTTTAAAAGTTAAATTTTTATTTTTAGGAAAACCCAATTCACCCTCTTCTTTCGGTTGTGCCCATTACATATTACGGGACCCACATGTTGATTCTATGTTTTTATAAAGTTGGGTTTGTTCTCTTACCCCTTGAAAAAGGATTTAACATAGTGGAGGGATCTCAAAGGATGAGTCATTGGAGAGTGGATGTTAGGCGAGTAGTACCAATCCATATAAATCTCTTATTTATCTTCTTTTATTTTCTTGAAAGTTCTGCTTGATCACTATTCTTATTTACAAAACTATTATCTTTTCAGTTTCTAAACGTTGAATAAGCTTTTATCTCTGTGGAACATTAGAATTCTGGATTTCTGGTATTGTGATTATTTTACTAAGTTTTTTTAATCTGCCCTTCAAACATTTCAGTATAAATCACAATATGAGTGATAATCAGTTTCTAATTTTTGCTTAAGCTTTTATAAGAGGTAGTTCTAAAACGCAATAATTATTCTTCAAAAGGGTCTTCTAAATTTGCTTAAGCTTCTGTGAAGCAATTCTAAATGCCAAATAACTATTCTTCATAAGAGTCTCTTCTAAATTTGCAATAAGCTTTATGAGGAAAGTGCTAAACTTGATTCACTAACTGGAAGTGCTAAACTTGATCACTAACTCTCACAAAGGCTTTCTAATTTCGCTACAACAAAATTTTGATCTTGTGTTTTGAAAGTCAAATTTTTAGAAAACCCAATTTTGCCCCCTCTTGGGTTATGCCATAAATAAACAAAACCACACAATCCAATCTAAAAATAAAAATAATAAATATAAAAAAATATAGTTATTTGTTATAAATAAATAACAATTTTTAAACTTAAAAAAAGTTTTTTAAATGATCTAATAAAAAAAATGAAAATTCAAAACTGAAATATAGATATAGATTTTTACTGTAAATGTATATTAATTTCTAAAATATAATTATTAGATATATGATAACAAAATTTAAATAATAAGTGTTAGCTTAAGGTCAATTTTATCCTAAAATTTTGATTTATCCTAAAATTTTGATGGTTATGCAAAAGGAATAAATTTAATATTTTTATTGTGCTAAAGTTACTGCATGCAGAAATTATTATTGAGAAGCTTTGAAGATCTTATAATCTAAGACTTTTATTTGAAGATCATAAAGATCAATGAAGATATTTTGTTTGGTTAGTATTTTAAGGAGTCTTAGGAAATTAATGTAGGATAGATAGAAAATTTCTTTATAAACACAAAATATCTTTTATTTTTCTTAAAATTATTTTTGAAATATTCCCATTAAATGCTTGAAAAGGAAAAGCCCAAATCATTGCTTTTTTTTTTTTATCTACGCATACCTAAGTGGAAAAGATTTTGCAAAAAATATTTTTAGTCACTAGTGAATTAGTTTCCACAAAAGTTATTCGTGCATTTGTGCATTGACTTTTGATTTTAAAATATAAAAGATAGTTATTGCTTATTAAAAGACAAATCTTATCATTTTTTACTGGATTTTCATTCCTCTTATAAAAACATTTTTCTCTCTTTCAAAATAGTTGGCAAGAGTAAGAGTCCATCATTAAAAATTTTAGATATCTCAAAGTTCTCTCTTCAACCCTTTTTATTTCTTTTCTTCTCTATTCTTCAAGAAATATTTTTAAGAGAAAAGAAATCTAATAACAACTTTTTCTAAAGAACAGTTCTGAACTTTATCTATAACAAACTTTTTCTACAAAGAAACAAGTTCTGAACTTTATCTCTGGTTTTAAATATCTATGTTTTACTGTTTCTTTTGTGTTTGATAATTGCATTTTCTCCCGTATCTATATAGATTGATTGTAATCTAAAGTGTTTTATAATCTAGTGTAGACTAGAGGTTTTTTAAACAAAAAACATGGTGTAATAGCTTAGGTAAAAAGCTATGGTGAAAAAGGTTATCAAGCGATTTTCTCCTTATGTGAGATTCTAATGTTTTGATTTGAGTTTTCTGTTCTCTGCAAAACAGAAAGGGTAGAGGTTGACCAGAACCTTCAGAAATCTAGTAACACAAATGTTAGATCTAGGTGTTGATCTATTTCCTTGTAAAGTTGGTTTGTCTCTTACTCTTGAAAAGAGATAACATAGTGGAGGATCTCAAGACCAGTCTTGGGAAATGGATGTAGGCAAGTTCGTGCTGAACCATTATAAATCTATGTGATTATCTTCTTTTACTTTCTGAAGTGTTGCTTGATTATATTCTGTTTACACTTATGTTAATCATTTCAAAAATGCAAAGTTATTAATGAATTTTTGGTTATTAATGAATTTTTGTTTCTAAACGTGAATTAAGCTTTATCTTTGTGGAACCTTAGAACTCTAGATTATCTGGTATTTGTGTTTTTACCTAGTTCTAATCTATTCCTTTTTATATTTAGTAGAAATCACAATCAGAGTTATTAATCAGTTTTTCTAATCTTGCACACAAGGCTTTGTTGAATAAGTTTCTAAACATGCACAAGCTTTGTGAAGTAGTTTCTAAACATAATAACTATTCTTCACGGAGTCTTTCTAATCTTGCAAAAGTCTTGTGAGGAAGTTCTAAGCTTGATAATTGACTCTAACAAACGCTTTCTATTTCTGCTGCAACAGAATTCTGATCTTGTGTTTTAAAAGTTAATTTTTTTTAAAATCCAATTCACTCCCTCTTGGGTTATGCCATACATAACGGGACCCATAATAAGAATATTATTTTAATATAGGTGAAAATGTTCAAAGAAATTTCTCTTGGCAAAATAATAATTATAACAACAACAACAACAACAACAATAATAAATAAATAAATAAATAAAGATTATACTTACATTTTTCTACCCAGTTTTAGTGAAACTCTTTCAAAATTCAAATACTCAAATCATGAAATATCCTAACTCAATAATTGTAGAATAAAAAAAATATAATTATAATAATTATTATATGAATTAAAAATTATAAATAAAATTATAAATAAATAAAATTTACACATATATGAATATGAGGCGATGAATAAAAAATTTAAAATTTTCTATGATCTGCTAAAAATATAATAAATTTAAAAAAAAATACATAAATGGATTAACAGTTTGTTTTGCTTTCCTCACATCTCCATCAACATGATATTTTCCATACCTGCATTTATACACATAGGAGACATATGATTGTGACTTATAATAAAGAAAATACTACTAAAGAACTAAAGATTAAGGAGAAGAGAAGTCACAGGAAGCATAGAAAAAAAAAAGGAAATCAAAAATTGCACAGAAAAAATAAAAATTTGAAAAGGTAAACAAAAGGAAAGAAGAGATCAAAGAATTCATATTACCGTAGTCGAAGAAAAGACAATGGTAAATCTGGATTAAAGTTGCAAAATAATAAACTACATATATATAAATACGGAACTCAATCAAAACTCAGAGAATTGAAAAGCAAAAAAAAAAAAGCAACAAAAAAATTGAAAAAAGCAAACAAAAAAAAAAAAAAACCATTATAAGAAACATCCATTGGAAAATATATATTTATATATATATATATATATATATATATTATATATATATATATATATATATATATATTTA